ACAAAAAAAAAAAAAAAGAGTAAAGGTTTTATCAGTAATGTTTCTAACCAAATATGTACTTTACTAATTATAATGGCTTGTCTGCACATTTACAATGCTCTGTGTGCACATGGATTCAAAGTATATGATCCAAGAATTAGTGAATATGTTCACACTCAAGAAATTATCAATTGCTTTAACTTTTTTTTGTTGTTGTTGTTGTTGTGGGGCTTAAACTCTGGGCCTGGGCGCTGTCCCTCACTCAGCTCTTTAGTTCAAGGCTAGTGCTCTACCACTTGAGCCACAGCACCACTTCCAGTTTTCTGGTGGTTTACTGGAGATAAAAACAGACTTTGCTGCCCAGGTGATCCTCAGATCTCAGCCTCCTGAGTAGTCAAGATTACAGGCCTGAGCCACCAGCACTTGACTATTTTTTTTTTTTTTGTCAGCCATGGGGTTTGAACTCTGGGCCTAGGCACTGTTTCTCAGCTCTTCGCTTAAGGCTAGTGCTCTACCACTTTAGCTATAGCACCACTTCCTGCTTTAATTTCTTACAAAAGCAAACCAAAAAACAAACTTTCTACAAGGGAAAGGACAAGGAAACATACCTGTCTGACATTCTGTGTGCTGTAAATGTGGTTTGCAAGAGGTGGCCTTGGTCTGTGTGACCGGCTTACACAATATACCTTTGTTCTTCTGAAGCTTGGGAGGCTGAGAACACTGGGGAGGCAGAAATTTCAGGGTCATTGTTGGTGTAGATTCCTAGTTAAAAATAAATTCAAAAAACAAAGAGTGGTTTTAGTACCTTACCACTAATTATATTTGCTATCACTTAAAAGGTAGCACTCTGAAAATATACACTGATTCCTCCTTCTCTTAATCAGTATCAGTCCCATTTGATTTAAAAAATGTTCTGGGAGGCCAGGGATGTGACGTGATAATAAAGTGTGTGCATGCCTGGCATGAGTGAGGCTTAGGCTCAATGCCCAGCAGAATGCACACACACACACACACACACACACACACACACACGCATACGCACACACGCACACGCACGCATGCGCCAGGAATGTGGCTCAGTGGTGGAGTGCTTGCCTAGCATGTAGCATGCATGAAGCCCTGGGTTCAATTCCTCAATACCACATAAACAAAAGCTGGATGTGGGGCTGTAGTTCAAGTGGTAGAGTGCTACCTTTGAGCAAAAGAAGCTCAGGGACAGTGTCTAGGCCCTGAGTTCAAGCCCCGGACTGGCATAAAAACCAAACACACACACACTGATGCCTATAGTATGATCCAAATATGAAAATATTTTTTTGCTGATTAGAACTGGCTACTTAGAAAAATTAGCTACAACCTGAGACCATACACAAAAAACATATTTGGAATCAACTAAACACCTCAATGTGGAAAAAAGAAAAAGTACTGTACAACTTCAAATGATGAAGAAAGAACTTTAATTGAAAAAGAGTAAAAGGAAAAGATGAACACATTGACTAGAACTTCAGACTTTTGAAATGAAGGTCTTTATAAAACCAAGCTATAATATAAACAGAAGACTGTATTTAAAACAGATTTATTCATTCAGTACATATTTACTGAATGTTTACCATGAGTTATATACTGTTCTGGGAATACAGAAGAAAATAAAACAAGAGTCCTGCTCTAATGGACCTTGCATTCTATGGGGAGACAAAGAAAGCAAACAAAAAGAACAAACATAATGTATAATTCAGGTGGTGAATAGAGATGTGAAGAAAAAAAATCAAGCAGGAGCCGGGTGCTGGTGGCTTACACCTGATCTAAAGATCACGGTTCAAAGCCAGCCCGGGAAAGAAAGTCCATGAGACTCTAAGCTCCAATTAACCACCAGTAAACCAGAAATGGCGCTGTGGCTCAAGTGGTAGTTAGCTTGAACTGAAGAGCTCTGGGACAGCGCCCAGGCCCAGAGTTCAAGGCCCACAACTGACACACAAAACAAAACAAAAAAAACTTTTCCATTTCTATATTAAAACTTTTTCGAGATATATTAGTGCTTTTATAAATTTCTTATATTATTTTCTTGTATTATATAAATATAAGAAATTATGGTGGGGAAGGTGGCTCAGTAGTAGAGTGCTTGCCTCGCCTACATGAGGCCCTCGGTTCGATTCCTCAGCACCACATAAGCAGAAAAAGCTGGAAGTGGCGCTATGGCTCCAGTGGTAGAGCTAGCCTTGAGCTGAACAGCTGAGTGAGGTACAGTGCCCAGGCTCAGAGTTCAGGCCCACTGACTGGCAAAAAAATAAAAATAAATTATGTTAAGTATTTCTTTAAGTATTTTTTCCATCTGACCTACATTTTGGCCTAAATTAGCTGGAGAATTCCAACTAAATTTTCTTCCATTTGTTTACTCGTCTGTTATATTCTTTATTAATTATATTCTTTATTAATTAATTTCTCCTGTTGATCTAAAATGATACCTATCATTACTAGATTTATATATTACATATATAGTAACTATGTATGTGTGTCTTATTTCTGAGTTTCTGTTGTTTTAACAATGTACATGGTTTTATAATACCTGTAGTCTCCCTATAACTTTAATAATACAGACACTTTTCTTCGCCCCCCCAACCTGCTTTTTTTTGCCAGGTCTGGAGCTTGAACTCAGGGCCTGGGCAATGTCCCTGAGCCTCTCTGTGCTCAAGGCTAACGCTCTAGTGCTTGAGCCACAGTACCACTTCCAGCCTTTTCTGTGTATGTGGTACTGAGAAATCGAACCCAGGACTTATTCTAGGCAAGCACTCTACCACTGAGCCACATTACCAGTCCTCTTCTCCCCTTCTTTCTTTTCCAGGAAGGCATTGAAGGTGTTTAAGCAGAGGAATAACATGATCTATTTTGTGTTTATCCAAGATCATTCTACCAACAATGTAGAGAAAAAAATGTGAAGGGTAAGAATGGATATGGGAAGATAGGGAAGGGTTATTACTACAACAATCCAGAAGAAAGACAAATGGTTTCTTACTATGAGGGTTAAGAAGCAGAAAAGAGCTAGACACTGGTATATCTTAACTGCTCAGAGGCTGAGATCTTGAGATCAAGGTTCAAAGCCAGTAAGGGAAGAAAAGTCCATCAGACTCTTATCTCCAATTAACAAGCAAAAAGATAAAAATGGAGGTGTGGTTCAGTTGGTTGAGCACTGAAGTTCAATGCCTGGAGTCCAAACCCTATAACCAGTACAAAAAAAAAAAAAGAAAGAAAGAAAGAAAGGAAAAGAAAAGGAAGAGGAGAAAGAAGACAGAAGAGAGGAAGGAGCACTGGAGAGAAGTCTAGAGAGAATATAAACATTCTAGATATATTTGAGATAACTATTAAGCATCCAAGTATAAATGTTAATTAGGCAGTTAGATACATGAATCTGGATTTCAAAGGTCAGGGCCAGAGAAATGTATCTGGGAATCAGCCATCACCTAAGTAGTATTTAAAACTATCAGGCTGTTGGAAGTGGCGCTAGTAGAGCGCTCGCCTTGAGCTGAAGAGCTGAGGGACAGTACCCAGGCCCAGAGTTCAAGCCCCTATATCGACCAAAAAACAAACAAAAAAAAAACTATCAGGCTGGGAAGGTGGATCAGTGGTAGAGTGCTTGTCTTGCATGGATGAGGCCCTGGGTTCAATTCCTCAGCACCACATAAGCAGAAAAAGCAAGAAGTGGCACTGTGGCTCAAGTGGTAGAGTGCTAGCCTTGAGCTGAAGAGCTCAGGGACAACGTCCAGGCCCAGAGTTAAGTCCCAATGAACAAAAAAAAAAAAAACCTATCTAAGGACATATGGGATTGTGCAAGATTTTATAAATACTACTTAGAATGGTGTATGGTTTAAAATGTATGAATTATTTATGGAATTTTCCATTTAATATATTTAAACTGCAGTTGATTGTGAATAACTGAAACTACAAAAACAAAAAATATGCCAGGAGCCAGGTACCAGTGGCTCACGTCTGTAACTCTAGCTACTCAGGAGGCTGAGATCTGAGGATCGCAGTTCAAAACCAGCCCAGACAAGAAAGTCCCTGAGATGCTTACTTCCAATTTACCACCTAAAAACTGGACATGGAGCTGTGGTTCAAAGTGGCAGAGCACTACCTTAAGCAAAAAATCTCAGGGACAGGGTTTAGGCCCTGAATTCAAGTCCCAAGAGAAACAATCAACCAACAAACAAAAGGATCAGCGACAGTGGCTTGGAGTATATAAGCCCCAGGACCAGCATTAAAAAACAAAACTGGGGCTGGGAAGATGGCTCATGGTAGAGCGCTTGCCTTGCATGCATTAGGCCCTGGGTTCAAGTCCTCAGCACCACATAAGCAAAAAGAAAAAAAGCAGGAAGTGGTGTCGTGGCTCAACTGGTAGAGCACTAACCTGGAGATGAAGAGCTGAGGGACAGCGCCCAAGCCCAGAATTCAGGCCCCACGACCGGACCCAAATAAATAAAAATAAAACTATGGATAAAAGCAAAGTGCTTCATACAAGACATTGTAGAAACTAGGAAAAAAAATTCAACAGGAAAACAAAAGCAAATAAAAGCAGAAAAAAATTTCAAAGCAGGGGCTGGGAAGGTGGCTCAATAGTAGAGAGCTTGCCTTGCATGCATGAGGCCCTGGGTTTGATTCCTCAGCACCACATAAGCAAAAAGAAAAAAGCCAGAAGTGGCGCTGTGGCTCAAATGGTAGAACGCTAGCCTTGAGCTGAAGAGCTGAAGGACAGCACCCAGGCCCAGAGTTCAGGCCCCACAACCGGACCCCAAAAAAAAAAAAAACGAAAACATTTCAAAGCAATGAAAATCCAAGATGGAGAATGGTGGCTCACGCCTGTAATCCTAGCTACTCAGGAGGCTGAGATCTGAGGATCCAGGTTCAAAGCCAGACTGGGCAAAAAACTAAGTGAGACTTTTTTTTTTTTTTTTGTCGGTCGTGGGGCTTGAACTCTGGTAGTGGGCATGGTCCCAGCACTCTTCAGCTCAAGGCAAGCGTTCTACTGCTTGAGCTACAATGCTACTTCCGGTTTTCTAGTGGTTTATTGGAGACAAAAGTCTCACATACTTTCCTGCCCGGGCTGGCTTTGAACTGTGATCCTTAGATCTCAGCCTCCTGAGTAGCTAGGATTACAGGCGTGAGCCACCAGCACCCAGCTCCCTATTGGGTTCTTCCGTGAGACTCTTATGTCCAATAAACAACTCAGAAAACCCGAAGTGGCACTATGGCTCAAGTAGTAAAGTGCTTACCTTGAGCTGAAGAGCTGAGGGGCAATGCCTAGGCCCAGAGTTCAAGCCCTATGACCAACAACAAAAAATGTTCAAGCCTTATGACCAACAACAACAACAATAACAAAAGAAAATCCAAATGACAATATATATATATATATATATATAAGTAAATTTACAAATAATCGGTGACATACAAATTAAGAAAATAGCAAGACCCTATCAAACAGAATGGCAAAATAAAAAAATTTAAATATCACAGTATTAAATGATGGTGAGACTGCAGAAATGGGTAAAAACTAAAACAGCCAATACGTAAGGCTAAATATCCAATTACTTTGACTCAACCATTCCATTTTCTATTTCTAAACAAGAAATACCTGCAATTATGCACAAATAATATACTTATGTATATACATAAATATAGCTTTCTAATAGTGAAAACCTAGAAAGAGTCTGGTGTTTAAATATGGTACCTACAGACAATACTATATACCAGTCAATAGGAATGTACCCAAAATACTATGTAACATATTAACATAAATATAGGAAAGATAATATTAAAATTTTTTCATGCAGGGCTGGGAAGGTAGCTTAGTGGTAGAGTGCTTGCCTTGCATGCATGAGGCCCTGGGTTCGATTCCTCAGCACCACAAAAGCAGAAAAATCCGGAAATGGAGCTGTGGCTCAGGTGGTAGAGCACTAGCATTGAGCTGAAGAGCTCAAGGGACAGCGCCCAGGCCCAGAGTTCAGGCCCCTCAACTGACCAAAAAAAAATAAACAACAACAACAAAAAATATTCGGTTGTGGGGATTGTGAAAGAAGGAATGGAGTCCCTGCTGAGCAAGCCTGAGTAAAAACCCTAAATTAAACATTAATACCATGAAGAAAAATAAATAAATAACTTTGTGATAGGGGCTTGAGCATGGGGCTATCAAGCCTGAGGTGAGAAAAATTAAAAAAAGAAAAAAATAGAAAAGGAGAACTGGAGGCTTGGTTCAAATGGTACAATATGAATAAGAAAGCTGAATGAAAATTCAAGGCATGACTTCAAGCCCTAGTCCTGCCAAAGCAAACAAACACGCAAAAACATAAAGTAAAAGAGGGTTACATTCTCAGGGTTACATAAATCCACAACCAATGTTTTAGATTATATAGGATGCTTACATAAACATGTTAATACCTAATAACATGTAACACATTAGTACCTTAATTGAATAATTGTGTAGTTAATACAATTATTAATGGTGTAGCAATTTACTAGCCATGTAATTTTAAAGTATAATTTAATGCACAACATATAATATGCAATTAAATACAAGTTAATTTAATGTCATTTCATTAACTTAATTTGCTTTGTTGCCTGAAAAAAGTTAAACAGAAATTATCATTATTTCCATGACAAATAACAGGAAAGTTAGGATATACTAAAGTCAGGTAAGTAATCTTTCCACATTACAGTGAGAGCCAATCTAACTCATGCCAGACTTTTACTGAAAAACAAATGTAATGTAGTTCAAAATTTTTCTCATTTTCCCCAGCTAAGCATTTCTTGATATGCAGCCATATTTTCCATCTTTTGCCTTGATACCTTAGAACAGAAATCTACATGTAGATGCTCTTCAAAAATACTAAGTGCCAAGCCAGGTGCTGGTGGCTCACACCTGTAATCCTAGCTACTCAGGAGGCTGAAATCTGAAGGTCGAGGTTCAAAGCCAGCCTGGGCAGGAAAGTCCATGAAACTCTTATGTCCAATTAACCACCAGAAAACCGGAAGTGACGCTGTAGCTCAAGTGGTAGAGTGCCAGCCTTGAGCTGAAGAGTTGAGGGACAGCGCTCATGCCCAGAGTTCAAGCCCCACGACCGACAAAAAAAAAAAAAAAACTAAGTGCCACCAGGCACTAGTGGCTCGTGCCTATAATCCTAGCAACTATGGAGGCTAAGATCTGAGGATCACAGTTCAAAGACAGCCTAGACAGTAAAGTCAGTGAGACTCTAATCTCCAATTAACGGACCAAAAAGCTGGAATTGGGGCTGTGAACCAAATGACAGAGCACTAGCCTTGAACAAAAAAGCTCAGCAACAGCACCCAGGCCCTGAGTTCAAGCCTAATGACTGGCACCAAGTCCTTCACCGCCCCCCATCAAAAAAACCTAACTGTTGCTAAAATGTGGTCAAAACTAAATCCCACATTAAGTGTTGGTAGTGTTGAAAGTCTAGGCTAATTAACCACTGTGTCCCACATCAAGTTGTTTTCCAATTCTAGCCCAAGAAATTTTCAGTCCTTTCATCTGTGCAAAGCTGCATTTTGCATCACTTTCACAATTTTAATTTTTTTTTTTGGTGGGTCGTGGGGCTTGAACTCTGAGTATAGGCACTGTTCCCTGCGCTCTTTAGCTCAGGGCGAGCGCTCTACTGCTTGAGCCACAACACCACTTACAGTTTTCTAGTGGTTTATTGGAGATAGGAGTCTCATGCACTTTCCTGCCCAGGCTGGCTTTGAACCATGATCCTCAGATATCAGCCTCCTGATTAGCTAGGATTACAGGCGTGAGCCACCAGTGCCTGGCTATTTTCACAAATTTCTTACATCAAGTATTGTCTTCCAAGAGAAGTCTCTTTAAGTTAAAGCCTGGTCAGTCATGGGTCTTGAACTCTGGGCCTGGGCACTGTGTCTGAGCTCTTCAGCTCAAGGTGAGCACTCTACCACCTGAGCCACAGAGCCACTTGCAGTTTTCTGGTGTTTAATTGGAGATCAGAGTCTCACAGACGTTCCTGCCCAGGCTGGCTTTAAACCACAATCCTCAGATCTCAGCCTCCTGAATAGTTAGGACTACAGACATGAGCCAGCCACCAGTGCCCAGCTCTTGCTCACGCTCACACACACACACACATATACACATAAATATATACTATATATATAATATATACACAATATAATATGTATAATATATATATATATAGCATGTATGTACATGTATATGTGAAGGTGCACCTGCATACTAGTCTTAGGGCTTGAACTCAGGGCCTAGGAACTGTCCCTGGGTTTTTCTTTTTCTTTTTTTTTTGGTCAGTCATGGGGCTTGAACTCTGGCTTGGGCGGTGTCCCTGTGCTATTCAGCTCAAGGTGAGCACTGTACTGCTTGAGCCACAGTGCCACCTCCAGTTTTAAGGTGTCCACCTACAAATAAGAGTGTCACAAAAGCTAGGCCCCGGTGGCTCACACCTGTAATCCTAGCTACTCAAGAGGTTGAGATCTAAGGATCTCGGTTCAAAACCAGCCCAGGCAGGAAAGTCTGTGAGACTCTTATCTCCAATAAAAAACACTAGAAAGGGGCTAGGAAGATGGCTCAGTGGTAGAGTGCTTGCCTTGCATGCCTGAGGCCCTGGGTTCCATTCCTCAGCACCACATAAGCAAAAAGAAAAAGCCAGAAGTGGCACTGTAGCTCAAGTGGTACAGCGCTGAGGGAAGAGCTGAGGGACAGAGCCCAGGCCCAGAGTTCAGGCCCTACGACCGGACCAAAAAACAAACAAACAAAAACACTAGAAAACTGGAAGTGGCGCTGTGGCTCAAGCGGTAAGCGCTCGCCGTGAGCTGAAGAGTAAAAGCACAGTGCCCAAGCCCAGAGTTCAAGCCCCATGACTGACAAAAAAAATAAATAAAAATATTAAAAAAATAAAAACTCTGGGGATGGGAAGGTGGCCTAGTGGTAGAGCGTTTGCCTTGCGTGTATGAGGCCCTGGGTTCGATTCCTGAGCACCACATAACCCAAAAAGAAAAAAAGCCAGAAGTGGCGCTGTGGCTCAAGTGGTAAAGCGCTAGCCTTGAGCTGAAGAGCTGAGGGACAGCGCCCAGGCCCAGAGTTCAGGCCACACGACCGGACCAAAAAAATAAATAAATAAAATAAAATAAAATAAAAACTCAATGACTTTCAAACAAAACTCAGATGTGATAAAAAAAAAAAACAGCGTGTCTTTATGCTGGTAGTTTAAGAGTACACCCTAGCCAGGCACCTGTGACTCAC